CACCCCCGCCCCCAGTGTACCTGCCCAGTAACTGGCTCCAGCTGTTGCAGTGTGGCCAGCACAAACACTGCTGTCTTTCCCATGCCTGACTTGGCCTGGCACAGGACATCCATTCCCAGAATGGCCTGAGGTATGCACTCATGCTGGACTAAAAGTTAAAGAGGAAAACATATAAATTAGACTTCAGTCTCCAGATAACTCCACTATCTTCTTCACCGTGCCAAAGCCATTTTTCACCACTCAAGTCCCAGAGAATTCCCCGGTTTTCGTCAACACTCAGACCCTTCCTATCGCTCTGCTCCCTCAATCACACTCATCTCCAAATCAGACCCTCCTAGTTCCTTCTATCTCTAGCCTCCTCTAGCTCCAGGCCTCACTGGTCCTGCTAATAACCCTCCTGGGCCTTCCAACAGCTCACCTTTAGTGCTCGTGGCTCTGTCCTTATTTTCCTTAACCTGTAACAATCCGTGGCATTTGAGTGCCTGCCACAGGCTATTTCTCCCAATTAGGCTGCTGTACTTGGGTCACGTAGCCCTACAAGCTTGGACAAAATGAAGGAAGGACTTGGTAACTGACCCAGGAGCCAGCCATCTTTAGGCCAGCTGTAAAGGTTCCCAGAGACCAGAGCTGGCCTGGCCCAGTACAGAGGGACTAGACGTCCAACTAGCCCCTCTCTAGAAGTTTAAAATTAGGAGCCAAAGTGACAAAACTAAAAACAAGCAGACAAGAAAAAAGCAAGTCAAGTATGAATGGCAGACCTCTTAAGGTGCTTTTGGCTCACTAGCACTTTTGTGCTATCACAAATGGCAGAAGGGCCTACACAAGCCTCTTCTATTGCTAAAATAGTTCTTTTAGTACTTCTAGTCCATCCTCAATATAAACCACTATCACCTGAGAAATTACAAACATGTCTATTATTTACAGTCTTAAATAGCCTAATGATTACTCTATGCCTAAGAAAAAAATTACCTTCTGACGGATGCTCAAAACCACAGTCAACAATGGCGCGGAGCAACTCTGGCTTGAGCAGGAAGTCACGAAAGCCAGAGCTGTGGATGGAGACATAGGAGCCCTTGACATCCTTTTTGGCAGGGGCCTCAGCCCCATCTCCTCCAGCTGCTGTCTCCACTTCATCATCTTCATAGTCCAAGAGCTCATTGTCCACATCATTCTCTGCCATAACTGGGCCGGCAGGGGGAGAAGAGGAGGGGTCTCTGGATAGGCTCACTCAGAATAAGTGAAATCAAGAGGGAAGAGTGGGGTTTATGGAATAATAAGAGGAAAAGGAAGCTAACTAGTTTCTGTTACAAGAGCTAAAAAAGGGGAAAAAAAAAGGAAGACTTATCAGTTATGAGCAAAACCTTCACCATTTCAAGCCTTCATCCCTACACTCTTCTCTTTCCCTAAATTATGAAACTTCTCCCCGGAAAGAAGAGTAACAAGTAAAAATAACAAGTATTAAATGGAAAAAGTGCTCCTGGGGCAGGTGGTTAGAACACAGACTCCCAACAGGACTAAGATCAGAGCAGTAGAAACCAAAAAGTTAGAAAAGGAAAACCAACTTACACATTCTTGACTTGTAATTAGCAACGAGGCCTGGTGGCCCGCAGTAGTTAAGTGCTAGGCTGCTAATGGAAGAAAAAGTGATTCAAACCCACCGGCCACTCTGCCAGAGAAAGATGTGGCAGTATGCTTCCCTAAAGATTACAATCTTGGAAACCCTATGGGGCAGCTCTACTCTGTCCTATAGGGTCACTCTGAGTCGGAAACCACTCTGCGGCAACAGGTTTTTTTAAACTAGGGATATTGTTAGTCACTGGACTCCCACCATGGTGACCCTATATGTGTGTAGTATAGAACAACTCCATCGGGTTTTCAAGGCTGTGACCTTTCAAAAGCACACTGCCAGGCCTGTTTGCTGAGGTGCTTCTGAGCAGGTTCGAACAGCCAACATTTGACTAGTACTCAAGTGCTGAACAGTTTGCACCACCCAGCGACCTGTTAACTAGCAATAGAAAAAGAACAGATAATGAAACACACAATACATTAACGACTGAGAAGGTTGGAGACTGCAACTGAGATGAAGTCCTGAAACATTCTGAAGGAATCCTGTGCTGTCCCTATCTACAGTCTCAAGGTGTCGACCCCCAACCCAACAGCCATCAGTCAAGGGTGACAGATTAAGGTCATCAGGGTGCAAAGCGCTCATCTCTCAAAATGAAAACATCATGTGGCTGCCATACACTTCCCACAGCTTTCCAGCGTGACTCCTCAGATCCCTCCCCTCTTCCGCTGCCTAAGAAATCTCTCTGTAATTAATGGCGGGAGAGGAAATGAGAGAAATGACCCGGTCGGAAAATAATATTCATCTTTCCACCATATGGCTAAAAAAAAGCTAATAACTAAGGGGAGAAGTGGTGTATCCTCGCTCCAGATTTACCAGCACTGTTACCAAATGGTCTCACATCACCTTTGTTCTACTCTTTAGATGAGACTCCTTTCCGTAAAACACACGACACCACTCGTAAACATTTGGAAAGTGCACCAAACAAACGCAAGCAAGTCGAGGTGACAAAAGTCCACCTGGGCCCAGAAATGGGCTCCCGCCGGTTCCCGCCGAGAGGAAGCAGCAGAGTAAACTGAGAAAAGCCCCGCCCTCTGCAAATGCCCAGGACCAGGGGACGCCTCTCGTCGTCGCGGGGGCCTCCGGTAAACAAGGAACCCACCGGAGAAGCGGGGAGCAAACGGAAGACAATGGCGTCGGGGCCACCATCTTGGATTGCCCCCCTCCCGTTCCCCCAGCCTCCCCCCAGGAACTCTTTGCTCTCGAAAGAGATGCAGGAAGCAGAAATAACGACCTAACTAGACCCCAGAGACCAGACTGTCGCCTATGGAAGGGGTATCGGGAGCCCATACGGCCGGATGGCGGCGGAAAAGCGCCGATGGAGGCGGATGATAAATAAGGCCCAAGCTTACCTGAGAAGGGCGGGCGCCTATGGCGGCGGCAGTACAAACGAAGAAAGGAATCTGCCTTCACTTCCGGTCCCTGGTTTCCTTCTACCCCGGTCTCCCGCCTTCTCGACCGACAGCACGCAGGCGCAAGGGACCGGAAGAAGAACCTTCTGTGGTTCTAAAGTTTCGCGGGCTTAGGGGTTGCCTTTGGTAAATGCCTGTCTGATATTTTCTTTATTTAAAGCCACTTCTAACGCCTCCGTTATTGCCATAACAATAGGCAAAAAGAAAACTAGCATCCTGTCCCATCATTATCTATCTTCTCTTGTCCTGCTCTTCTCCACGCTCCTCACCACTTCGTTTACGTTCTTGCCACACAGGTCTTCTCTCTGGACACCTCTCCGTGAGCGCGCTATGATGGAGGGTGGCTGGGGCTGCGAGTTCCCACGGGGTCCTTGGCCCTGTCGTCAAGGTGACCTGTGGGCGCCTTGGCTCTTGTTAGGGGCGTAGCGCTCCAGCTGACTCAAGGATGGAGGGAAACGGTTTGAGGAAACTGGAGCGAGCCATACTCGGGGGTCCTGCTCCTCCAACTGTGGGGATAGACGGCAGGGTTGGTGGCATTTGCCCAGAATCATGTTGGCCGCTGTAGCTGATGCCCCAAGGGCTCAGGGGCTGCGAGCCAGGAAGGTGTCCTGAATCTGCTGAGTGGGAAACAGGGTTTGAATTCTGTCCTGAGCATTAAAGATAAATGATAGGGCTTGAGGGTTGTACAACATTCCATATATACTGTTAATTCGACCAAAATGTTTTTAGCCCTCCCTGTCCCCCAACAGCCCGATTGTTCAACCTGGATTTTTATACTAAATGAAATATTTGACACTGCCTCTTTGAGATGCTACAGATGTGATGTCCAACTGCTTAACAAAATTAACAAACGTTTAGCCAGGCATTGAACTAAGCTCTGTACCTGTTACCATACTTAACCATTTAACGCTATGGAGTAGATACCATAGTTATTCCCACTTTCATAGACAAGCAAACAGGCTTAGAGAAGTAAAGCAGCACGTCCAAAGTAATACAGCTAATAATATGGCAGAGCCAAGATAGGGACATCTCCAGGACCTGATTCTTGATCTCTATTGTATCCTAACTAGTTGGGTTAATAAATACACTACAGATTACCTCATTGGCCCAAGTCTGTGGTGAAGTAGACTTGTCTGCTGTGGCCAAGAAAAATAACATTGATTCTTCAAGGATGGTGTCATAGAAGGGGCATTTTCCCAATCTTAAATATTTAATTTATTCAACAACGTTTATCAACTGGCCACCCTGTACCAAGTGCTATCCTGGGATCTAGGGACATAGCAGTGAACAGCCCTGTCCTTGAAGAGCTTACATAGATGGGGAGATAACAGATAAACACATAAATATAATGTCAAGTAGCAACAAGTGCTATAGAGAAAAAGCAAAGTAAGGGGGCAAAGAGTGCTTGTTTCTACATGCCAGCTTTTCTCTACAGTTGCCATCTGTAGTCCTCAGGTTCTGAAATAAGGAACCATAATGTACTAGTGCTTTTGTTTCTGCAACAAGTTTCAATGAATAGTCTTCTTGGGTGTTTGGAATATGTAAACAAGGAACAAGAGTGACTGAAAGTAAGAAATGATGAGGCAAAAGGAGGCTGCTTTGACTCACCAATTGGTTTGCCCATAAGTTATTTTATTAACACATTTTTACTGTCACAAATAGGTGGAATCCAAAGGGAAAGTCAAGTGTTGAGGATGTAGAAAGGAAAATTGTACATACGAGGAGGCACAGTGTCCTTACTTCTCAGGAATCAGTGAGCATCTGATGGTTTTTGGGTACATAGAAAAAAGGGGAAATTCAATAAAGAGAAAGATAAACGAGAGAGAAAAAGAGAAGCTAAGAGAGGCAGTATCTTCCTGGCATCATAGTAGAGAGACTGAATGAGGTCATCATTTCGTCCTTTCAGGGATTATGAAGTCTGGAGAAAGGGAGGCTGGAACAAACAATTCTTCAGAGAATTACTAGGGTTACAGAACGAATTATTGAAATCAGAGAGCCACTGACAGAAAAACAGCTGTATCTAGGTTTGGCAGGTGGACAGGGATGAGTAATGACATCACAGGATTGTCATGCATGGAATCACAGCTACTACATGCCAGGAACCATGCTAGGCTCTTTACAGAATGATTCCTAATCATCACAGCAACTTAAAAAGGTGGGCATTGTTATTATTCCAGATTCACAGAGTGGGACATTGAGGCTACGGGATGCCTCTTGGCAAGTGGCAGGGAGGGGAGGGGAACCCAAGCCAGCCAGGCTCTGAAGTCAGGGTGTTTCCCATATCCCTACTTCTCTATGCTACAAGTTTCACATAGGGGTTGGATGAGGATAACAACGTCCCAGTGAGGGTTAAAGAACAAGGAGATTCAGGTCTGAGAAGGATATTTATAAGTTTTACGGGAGAATTATTGGATCCTGTCTCCTAGGATTTCCAGGGAACAGAAAGGAGAGGACTATGATGGGAGGTGATTTTGGTTTGCGGGATTTTTTTTGAGGGAGGGGACTAGCAGGGGGTGTCAGGTCCTGGGTGCGTCCTAGGCAGTGATCCGGTAGTTGGGGTGGACTTGAGGCCTGACGTCACAGACCATGCCAAGAAGCTGGGCCAGGACACGCTCACGGTTTCTCTGCTGGGAGCTCTGCATACCCTGCACTTGGTGCCTTGTTGCCTGCTCCACCTCAGCCGATAGGTTCCCCTGGGAGCCCATGGCCTGGAGGGTGGGGAGAGGGAGGGGAGAGAGAAAAGGAAAAGCAGAAACAGAGAAAGAAGGGTCCAGGTGTGTGGAGGGAAAGATCCTGAAGCAAGATCAGAAAGAATGACCAAAAAGCAAAACCAAACCCATTGCCGTCAAGTGGATTCCAACTCATAGCAACCCTAAAAGACAGAGTAGAACTGCACCATAGGGTTTACAAGGAGAACCTAGTGGATTCCAACTGCTCCCTCTGAAACCACCCCCATCCCACAGAAATGTCCAGACGCCAAAGATATAACACAATCCCCTTTTCTCTGAGACATGACATGCACCTTTGTCTTAAAACAGACTGTAAAATCCCTACCACCTCACCACCCATGACCATAAACCTCTGTCCCCCACCCCAAATGTTAACATTCTCCACATAAACTGCGGGGGGTGTCTCCCTCAGCCTCCCATCTTGACTGTCCCAGGACTCACCGCCTGCTGCTTGCTCTGGAATTCCTGCTCTCGCTCCCTGCGGTACTGCTCCACCTCCATCTGGGCTTCCTCCTTTGCCTGCTTCAGACGCCGGGCCTTCCCTAGAAGCAGAAGAAGGACAGGGGGCATGGATGGACCCTCACCTCAAAAAAAAAAGGTGATCATAGGGGTCAGTCTTTCCAGAAAGTTCTGCCTTCTCAATCAACCAGGTGGTAGATTCTAACACCCACCCATTTCTTCCCTCCTTACTAGCTCCCAGTCCCCAGCTCTCTCCTCACCTGCCTTGGGTTTTCCTAAGGACTCAAATGTTTGCTTTCCCACCCCCATTTTCCTTCTGGAACTCATAGGGAGGAAAGAGAAGACTTACTTTTTCGAGCATCTGCTACCTTCTCAGCCGCTCGCTTCTCGGCTTGCAGAAGCTGCTGGATGCCCTGGGACTGACTGGCCATTGCTGTCGTTATCACTGGTGCTGTTGCGGATGCTACCAAGGTACCAGATGGCTCCCACCCCCACCTCCTGCTTTTCCTCCTCCTGCTTGATGTTGTAGTCCTCCAGTACCCCTGGGTCTTAGTGCTCCCCTTTTCGCTCAGCTTCCTGCACCCAGTGTCTCCCCCATCAGATTCTCCACATTGATAACTGGTCCTCTTCTCCCATCTCTCATCCTGGCAGTACCCAGAAGGACCGCTTGGGAGCAGCAGAGACCGGGCCCAAAGCTGTCAGCTAACACTGCCCGAGGAGCAGGGCCTTTCCAGTCTGGATGGTCTGGGGATTGGGGCAGGGTGGAAAAGGGAGGTGTGTAGAGATGGAAGGAGAACGTGGTTGATGGTCTCAAAGCAGGTGCCATAGAAGTGTGACCCCAATACTCCCCAGCATGTTTTCTCCTTTTCAAAATGGGCAACTGAGATCTTGACATAACTAATGCCATGATGAACCTATAAGTTCTTTTTTTCTTTTTTGCCTGCCTTCTCCTTTCCTCATACCTTTGTTAAAGACTTTGTTTTGCTCTGTCTGGCCACCTGTGACTTACGACCCCCCACAGGAAGATTAGAGCCCAGATGTCTGACATGTATATCTTTAGCCTGATAAGGAGATGTCCAGCATGTAACTCTTTAATCTGATAAATAGTCTCTTGTAATTACCTTATAATTGTTGTAGAGTAAAAACATCATAAAGTTTAGTAAAGCAAAAATAAAGTTTTATTCGGCATATATTCAAAAGGACAAAAGTGAGAAAACAGACAAGCATGCTGCTAGAGCCATATCTGCCCGAGTCCAAAGAGTATTACAGAATAGGCAAGAATGGGAAAACGGACAAGCATGCTACCACAGGCATGTCTGCCTGAGTCCAAGGAACAGTTACAGAATCATCAGTATATATTAAAGCAAAACCATTGAAAGCATAGCCTTTTCTGATTGGCTAGAAACTGTGATCCTACATTTTGAATTGTCTTTCTTAACAATCATTGGTACAGTTTTCAGTAACGACAGTCAGGAGGGTCTTCATTGGTCCAGCAAATTTCTATTCACTAAATGCTAATAGAAAAAGAGTAGAGTCTTTTGTGTTCTGTTTGATTGGCTTTATGTGAAAGTTTCCCTAAAAGATACTTTCCAAGATTATTTTAGCTATTGCCTTTGTACCTCAGGGCCCAGTTAATGTGTCCTTGTGAGTCCTTGTGAGCCCAGCTCCAGCTGGGTCACATTCTCTATGCTCAAGGACAGGGCCTAAATCATTATGAGTAACTCATCTGGCGATGCCATCTGCAGGCTACAAAAACACTTCCAGCCTTTGTAAAAATCATATATAAGCTCTAACGTAAAAATGCCTTTTGGGACTCCGTAGAGACAACCCGTGTTGCTTTGGGATTCACCATTGGTGGACACCTCCTAAATTTTCTCATTCTTCCTGACTTGGTGTATGTTTCATTGGCTCGACTGCTCCAGGGCACAGACCCTAATTGGGTAACAGAAGGGTTGAGAATGGGGTGAGGAAGTTAAGGATGTGTTGGAGAAAGGGTGTTCTCAATTCTAGCAAATTTTCCCCTCTTTTTTCCTCCCTCTTGTTTCCATCTCTATTTTTTCTACGTCTTCCTCAAGTCCGAATTTCTGCATCCACCAAATTCGCCTTGTGCTACGATTATCTTCATATGTCTCTCCTGTTCTCACTGTAGTTTTATGGCTTTTTGGTGTTTTGTATTTTGTTTTTGTTTCCATTTTCACTGTGGTTTTTACTCTGTCTTTATCTCCCGTTTTCTTTCTCTCATCATCTTTTTGTCTATCACTGAACCATCTACTTCCAGCCGGGGGAGGCGGCATTAAACCTCAAAATCGCCCTCCTTTACCTCCCCATTCTTTTCCTCGCCTCTCGTCCAGTCTTCCGGTTGCAGGCAGGCCCTAGTTTCCCTCCCGGAAACCTGACTAAAGAAACACTCCCTCGGGGTGGAACGACATCCGGTAACACGCCTTACAGTTCATTTCCGCCCTTCCCCTGCGTCTCTTGTGCGTCATTTCCGCCAGCCTGGAGTGTCTCCGCCCTTCCCGCCTCCCTTCCTCTGAGCGTCTTAAACAGAGGCCTCCGGCCTACAGCACTGGGGCGTACTTGAAGGGGGGCGGGGGGCAGGTCTGATGAGTAACCCCTCCCCCCAGGTCCCCGAGGGAGAAGCCTCTACATCTGTGTGCCGGGTACATTATATTCAATTTCTAGATCATTATTTGAAAATATCTGTGACTTTTTTATATTCAAATTTCTTCTGACAAGAATTTCCACCATCAGTCTCTAGTCTTTTTCAAAGGCCTTTATTAAAAAGTAAAATTTTACCTGGGCTCATAAGCCTTAAGACATTTATCCTTTTCTCAAATTTTACATTAAAATATTAAATCTGTGACCTCAACTCCCCTCAAATTTTTTTCCAAACCTGCCATCTGGTAAGGGATGAGGGTTAAGATAGGCCTCATCTCTTGATGAGGATTTAAGAAGAAACGGGGAACCGGAGGGAGGAATAAGGCATAGAGTGTTAGATGGAGAGGGAGAGACCAGCCAAGGCTGGGGTCCTGACTGCTGCCTTTTTCCTTCCTCCTCAGCCTAAGAGTTCCATGGCCTCTACCTCCCGCCGCCAACGCCGAGAGCGTCGCTTCCGTCGTTACTTGTCTGCAGGACGGCTGGTCCGGGCCCAGGCTCTCCTCCAGCGACACCCAGGCCTTGACGTAGATGCTGGGCAGCCCCCTCCACTGCACCGGGCCTGTGTCCGCCACGATGCCTCTGCCCTGTGCCTGCTGCTTCGGCTTGGAGCTGACCCTGCCCACCAGGACCGCCATGGGGACACAGCACTGCACGCCGCTGCACGCCAGGGCCCTGATGGTGAGTCTGCCTGGTGGGGACAAGGTCATGAGCAATTGGCCAGATCTGAAATGAAGGCCAGCAGTTGAAAAATAAGCTAGTTGTTTGGTCAGTGGAACCTAGGGAAGTAGTTGACCAAGTTGGCATGTGACTGTCATTATGCCTTTGCATTACTGAATTACCATTGTAATGTTGAAGAGTTCAGCATTCCCAAAATAGCGATTGGTCTTCAAATTTCATATGTTTCTAGATTGGTAGTTAACTTTGTTTCTTGTTTTTAGCATAGAGGGTACCTCTGGAGTTAGATTTGCTAAATTCAAATTCTGGCTCCATATTTAATAGCTGTGTACTCTCGGGCAAGTTACTGAACATCTCTGAGCCATAATTTGCCCATGTGCAAAATTAAACAAAATAATAACCTTCGCTATGTGCCAGACATTTTTCACAAAGTAACTTAATTCTCAGGACAGCCCTATGAAGTAGATACTGATATGATCCCCCATTTCGCAGATGAGGAAACCGGCCACAGGGAAGTTAAGTAATTTACTACGGTCACACAGCTGTTAAGTGGTGGAGCAGGACTGAAACCCAGGCAGCCTGGCTAGGGTGTCCATGCTCTTAACAACTACATTGTGAAATTATACGATAGTGCCCATGTTCCAAGTACCCATACTGAGAATTAACTGACATAGTACCATAGTACATATTAAGAGCACCTGGCACATAGTAAGGACTTGGTAGATGCTGGCAATTGTTGTTCCTGCTGTTGCTGTCAACAGGTCCATACTCTGTTACCCACAGTTCCGAAACTCAAAAAGACTCTGAAAGCCAAACATTTTTCATCGGTCTGCCATCCAAACTTATTTGGTGGCAAACTCATTTTGGTCACTGAACAAAAGTGAGGCTATCTTTGATTTGTTTTTATCCTAATTGATGTCTATATTCATACGTTTCACTGCAGAAATATTCATGTGTTTGGTTACTGGGGATGCCCAGGCCATCTTGTAGATGCTGCCTAATATACAGTGTATATACTTTTAGATCAGTTGTATCAAGTCCCAAAAACACCTGAGTTCTGAAAAACCTTTGACACTGAGGGTTTCAGATGAGGATATGCTGTTTTCCTGGAGGAAAAGCTCTAGGTGGGGATGAGCAGCCCTAACTCAATTTGATCTGCTGCTCTTACCATCCTCCAACTCCTCAAGTATATACAGGAACCCCTTCTCCCCCTAGAAAAACTCCGCCTTTGGGGAGTTCCCCTTGGGGAAAAAAATCCCTTTTTCTTTAATTCCCCTTAATATAAATGAGATAGGCTGGCATATTCAGTTTTGTTTTTTTTTTTAACTTAATAACAAAGGGAAGTTTACAAAGTAAATGCAGGTGTCTAACTCAACAGCTGATTTTTAAGAGGCAGGACACTGGAAGGCAGCAGAATAATGTGAGGCAGACCTGCATCTGAATCCCAGCTCTATCACTTACAGGCTCACTCAGCTTAACCTTTGTGAGCTTCATTTGCCTCTCTAAGATGACGGTTGTGATGAGTAAATGAGGTATGCCTACTTGGTGCAGATTTTGCACTCACTAAATGACAGGTATTGTTATCTTTATGTTATTCAGTAAAGGCTTTTTGAGTAATAAAAATGTCCCTAACGGTGTGTCAGGCACTTCCTTCCTTATATTAAATTCTACCAAGCACATAAGGTTGATATTGTCTCACAGATGAGGAGAGTAGGGCCCAGAAGGTTCAGAAACCTGACCAAAATCTCACGGCTGATAAGGAGGTCCATGTCTTTTTCTTCCAAAAGTCTGATGTCCTTTATCTCCTCCTTGTCTCCCACCGGCCTCGCCACTAGGTGGCCTTCTAACTCCTTGGTCGAAAGGCCTGTGTCATTCAGCTTCCAGCTGCCTTAGAGACCACCCTGCTTAATAAAATGCAAATATTATGAATTCAGCAGATGAAATGACCCAGAATCCCCTCAGTCTTTGCCCTCAGTTCCCCTGTTAGGTGTGAGGGATATGTCAGTTTACGTTGGATTGGCTGGGCTGGGTTATCCTAACCAGTGAGACTCCAGTGAATGGCCCCTACCTTTGGGGCTTTTGGTGGCTTCCCTTTGGGACCTATTACCATATGAGGAAGTAGTCTTAGGTGTCAAAGACTCCTGTATAAACCCACCTTAGCCAGATAATTCTCTACAAGAGTTAGCTAGAATTAATGAACATTGCAACAGAAGGGTCATTTTCTCTTGGTCTTTGCGAAAAGAATAAAGCGCAAAACCAGCCTGGTATTTTTTTAAATATAACAGTCGCTGCACTTCTGCTGTGTGTCAGCACGGTACCAGGCCTTTAACATCCATTATCCACTTTAATCTGCACAGTACAAGTAGGTGGAGCCC